TTTCAGCTCTTTTTTTGTCTGATTTATTTTGATCTTATTTTCACTTTATTTCTCTTTTTTAGCAGACTATTTGTTTGTCTATCGTAGCAGACCTGATTTTCTAAGATGCATAACTGCAGTAATTGTTTTTATTGTTAATTTATTTTAAAACATTGTTTTTGTTTCTTTCGATGTTGTAATTTTAGTTAATTAAATTTGAAAGTTGTTTTGTTTTGTTTTTATTTGAAATTGTTATGGTTAAAATGTTTCTATTCCCACCAACAGAAATTATATGTATTTGTATATAATCATATAGAGGTTTAGGGTTAATTTATTTGATAGTATTTATTCTTTATTGGAGATTTTCACAATAAATTAAATTGAACTTCCTTGTTGCCAACTGCATAAAAAAGAATTCTGCTTTAATTTTAACAATATCTCAATTTGTGGCTGTTTATTTTTGTATATTTTTTTCTTTCTTACCGTAAGTTGCCCATGTGTTTTCAGTAAGGCTAAGGTCATAGAGAACGCCCACTGTTTACTCCATATTGAAATTATTTTGTGCCACCAATGCAAGAGTTAAGAAAATTTGATTCTGCATTTCTAAATGTGCTCAAAAATTAGGATAAATCTATAGCTTATCTAATCAAAAGATGACTTTTTTAGCCTTTCTGACATGAATGAAAATGTCCAATAAAATATTTCCCCTACTTTTAACTTAAAATATTATTTTTGAATTGAAAAAAAGATAATTAGAAAAGTCTTCTTATATGACAATTTTTTTTCCTTAGGGGCCAATCTTCTTATTGATAGCACTGGCCAGACACTACGAATAGGGGATTTTGGGGCCTCAGCCCGGTTAGCTTCCCAAGCCACTGGTGCAGGAGAGTTTCAAGGGCAGCTTTTAGGGACCATTGCTTTTATGGCACCAGAGGTAAGGCTGACATGTTGTTTTTTTCTGGGTATTACTTTTTAGTCAACTAATTGGACTTCTTGTATGTACTTTAGTTTCAATAAAATACTAGTCTCTTAGAATAAAAAAATATAGATACAAATTTATTATAATACATTTCAGTAGGTTTTACATAAAGACAAGGTTTAATTTATCATTACAACTCCACTGTGCAGGTGCTTCGTGGGGAAAGCTACGGAAGAGCATGTGATATTTGGAGTGTGGGATGTGTTATGATAGAAATGGCAACAACCAAGCCTCCGTGGAATGCTACAGATATCTCTAATCATTTGGCTCTTATTTTTAAGGTAGTCTCAATAAAAATCAAAGGGCACTGTTCACAATAATTATGCTAATGTACCAATTAAAGGGCGTCAGAAATTCTATAACACTATATAAATTTCATTGCCAGATTGCATCATCTGTAGACTCTCCACCCATCCCAGAGAATCTTCCACCTCCAATTAGAGATTTGATGCTGCGGTGCCTTGAGCAAAATTCTGAAGATAGGCCATCTGCTAAAGACCTTCTGGTCCATCCTTTGTTCACACAATGTTTCACAACCACACATAACATGTCCAACCACTTGAATGGCAGCAAACTTGCCAATAGGTAAGATATTTTGGACTCTTCTGCTATGCCCAGCAAACTTTTAAATACATTGATTCAGTGCTTTAGCACCTTCGATACAGTCCAATATGGAATCGACTCTGAAGGCGCCATTATCCCTATGATCATTGGAAAGGCTTTTATCCAAAGAACAGGCCAGGACAGGAAGCTCTTCACCCCAAGTCCTGTCTGAAGGCTCCAAGCAGTAACGGCCATGGACCGAGTAAGGGGACCATACCACATACACAGCACAATGCGTCTCATTCTTGGTTCCCACTCGCTATAAGTGGCTTAGGGCTGTGCTAACCATGGGCAGCAAGCTTTCATGTTCCTGTACTGTAACTGCCTCTGTTCCATGCAGGGACTGCTACTCCAGCTAACAGGACACTGATGTCTGCCCCCTTTGTGGAACAGTGTTTTGAACTGAGTTGCTGACTTTTTTTTTCCCCATTCCCTCCTCCAGTGAGAAAAAAAATGGCTCATTCAGGGTATCCTGTCTGGCCTTGTTCAATTCCAGTTATTAGTCTTTCTAGTTCCACTACTAGACACTTCCACAGAGGCGCCATGCTGAGACAACGGGGACAGAATCCTCCGTTGCTTAAGCACCAAGTAAGACTAATGTATATGAAATATTTGACCCTCCTTTAATGCTCAAGCAACCATCCAAATTATGGAAATAGAAAAATGGTTTGATTGTTGGGACAAATCTCAAAATGTCTGTAGAATCTGGATGAAACATATGGTGCCTTCTGAGGCTATCCAAGCCTTAACTAATTATTGTAGCATAGTACAAGATGGACCATTGTCTATTTGGTTTGTAATTGGCATGTTTTGGGACATCTTTAACTTGAGACACACCCTTACCATTTGCAGAGAGGAAGAGGAAATTCTTTTTTTTTTTTTTACTGTCCCGAACTTGCAGAATTCCATTTCAACAGGCCAACTGGTCTTTGACTTGTATGTGAAATTGATTTTAACCCTTGAACTGTTGTCATAATCGGCCACCATTTTTTTTTTTTTTTTTTTTTTTTTTTTTTTTTTTTTTTTTTGTTCTGTAGTGTCCTCATATTGGCCAACTTAGATCATATTAAATCAAACTTTGTTTTTACTCAAAAAAGTAATTAATTTTAAGTGATCAATGTATGATTAATAGTATTCCTTGTCCAATTATCGTTCAATATATATATAGTTATAGTTATAAGGCTATCAAACTTCATTTTAAGGCAGTTATAGACTATTTTTTAACATGCATATTAAATGCTAAAATCGCCTGAACACCACAGAAAGTTTGCTATGTCAGTTTGAGGGTTAAATCCACTTTTGCAGATTTCATAATTTAGATTGATATCTTGAAATATCCTAGATCTTGTTCTTGCGTGTAAATAATCTAGACATAGTCAATTGTTTCTAATTTACTGAAGGCAGTTAAATACAAAACTGATTTATTTATAGAATTAAAACATATTATGATACTAAAATTAAAGCTAATGTACATCTAATACATAATGAGTAGACTATGACTTAGACTTAGATCCACCTGTGCCTTTTAGTGCATTGGGCAGCAAAAAGTTCCCCTTTAAACCCTGTGGTCTATAGGGCAGATGATGTAAAGGTCAGCTAAGTATACTAAAATTTTTCTAGTAATCGCTTTTTTTTTTTTTTCATTTCTACTGCAAGCATGTTCTTCAGTGGGGGCTCAAACTTTCTCATTTTCTACTTGTTTTTTGTTTTCACTCAGATTTTGGTTGTAGGCATGCTAGATTTTCAGAATATTGTTAGGTTGACTTCTTGAACCTTCTTTATTTGAAGCTAAATTTATTTTTTTCATTTTTATTTTTACAGGTAACATAAACTTATTGGATCATAAAAACTGGCATTATTTTTACAACTTGACCACTTGGTGTTCTGTTTGGTGGTGAGTCTTCCCTGTGACAGTAAAGGAGTAACGAATAAAATTACTAGAGTTGTCTAATTAATTAGGAATGTACCATTTTTTTATAACCATTTAGATGCCAAAGAAGTTCATTGTAGCAATTTTTGTTTCTTTCTAGACTTTTTCTTTTTTGTAATCAAATGAATTGTTAGTTTTTTGGTTGTTGTTTTTTTTTAGTTGTTTTTTCTTTTTGTATTTTTTAAAAAGTAAATAGGGACTTTTAAAACAAAACATAAATGGCAATTTTATATAATGGCAGCTTTTTAATTAACACATTAGACATAACAAAAATAATTGTGTAATATACTGTACAAAAGCTAAAGGATTCTAATTGTATTTACTTAACAAATATTGAATTTCACAAAGAAACTTTTAAAACTTCTTTAGCTGTGAAAAGTTTTATCTTTGCACACATTTTTTTAAGTCTCATCAATTTAGCTATTTATATTTATGTATATTTTTTTTTCTACTTTTGTTTACTAATGTTATTTTGTATGGCTAGTCTCATATGTCTGTGCCAGACAGTTAATAAACTTGGACTCCGCTGAGAACCAAGTCGTCTGTCCTTGTTTCCGGCTGTCTTCACCTGTCACACTTGCTGCGTGTTATTTTCATGAGACAAAATTGTTATCTAGAAGACGTTGCCCCATTTATTTGTGGTCAAACAGACAATACTTGAATAAAAAATGTGGACAGACTAAATGGGCAATAAAGAATGACTTGACTTAATAATTACACATTTTGTTTAAAATGCAAAATAACTTATTTGTTTGTTTCAAAATGTCGCCAGTATTTAAAGTCTCACAGTTACTATTGCTAGGTTGTGTATGTAAATAATGAAGTTGATGGTTAGCTGTAAGTGTACATTGCAAGAAGTCTTGTCATATTTGTTGCTATTTGGGTCATTCCACATTCCGCAGGAAAGTATTGTTGCTTTCTCTTAACTTATTTCATATTTTTTTCTTTTTGAAAAAAACAAACAAACTTCACACAGTACCGGTACTACAAATTTGACTTAAAAATTTCCTCTTTCTGTGATATTAAAATGTCAAGGTCTGAGATTTATTTGCTTCACTTCACCCAATCAGTGAATGTCCGTTTTAACTAGATCTGTACGGACGAAATACAATAGTCGGGCAATGATCATTCATGAACCAGTGGGTGTGCATTTGTTGGTGCCATATTGGAAAGTTGTTAAATTTAGTTTCCAGCTGTTTTTAGATTAATTTCAGAGCCACTTAAATGTATTTTTCAAATCCCACATGATTTGTTCCATGTTTGTTCAGATCTGAAATTTGTTTTTCCCCTACACACCTATTTGCCAGTTGTACTACCAGGCCAGCCTGAGTTGGTAGCTATATCTCTTCTGAATGCTTGTGGCTAAGGACTAGGCAGCAGGGGGCATAGTTTTTGTGCCTCATCCATTTGCTGCTAGTCTGGGACCAATTGTACGTATGGGTCTAAAAACACATTTAAAAAAAAATGCTTCAACATTTGACAAAGCATGTTTTTCACTTTTAATATTTGCTTTTTTTTTTTTTTTTTTTTTTTTAAACTGCTGAAGTTTTTAATACTAGGCTGTTTATGTGTAATTTTATAAGGCTTGGAGGAGGATACTAGTAACTGTTCTATAAAATGCCAGCAAATCAGAATTGTTATTTTGGAAAAATTACTTCTGCTTTCATTTTGTGAATCAATTGTTTGTGTTAAGGAACTTGTTTTCTTGTTGCCAACCCCACTTTGCCTTCACTGTGTACAGGTTTTTAAATAGTTTTGAATCTTTGAAACTTCAGCATTAGAACAACTGGTTGTGACTGAAATGATCTTCCAAAGTATTGAATGCAATAGAATTTTCACAATGTATTTTATCTGTTTTACATTTTAAAAACAGTATTTCTCTACAAAATGAAACTTTTCAGAATTAAAATAGTCATTAAAAGATCTTTACGCAACCAAAAAAAAAATATTTTAGAACAGACATTTTAAGAAAATATTTTTACTTTGGCTTGTAATTTAACAGACATGTTTTACAAAAAGATAATTTTGATTATTGATTTTGATTTTTTTTTAATTAATTGAGAGATATTTACCTAATGTTTAAATAAAAAAATAACAATTGTTTTTAACTTTTCACCTCTGGGTGTAATCATTTTCCCTACATGTTCTCATCTTTTCCACCATGATCATGTTCAACTGCTGTATTAGCAGTCAATCAGTTTACCTTAAGGGTTATATATTTGTTGTTTGTTTATATTGTTCAGCTACAAATTAGCAAAACAAAAAGTCAACCCGTCCAATGAAATGTATGCAACAGTGAGCTCTGTCCATTATGTGGGGGTGTGCCTCAGATGTATGCAAATGTTTCAATCTGTAACTACACCTACACACACAATGTTTACAGTGACTATGAGCTCAAATTCAAAGTAGATTTTTTTAAATTTTTTATTTCTAAGATTTCATTTTGTTTACAAGTTCAAATCTTTACTTTTTGACTTCTATCTTTAACTGCATAATTTGAACTTGCTATTTGAAACAGTTACTTTAAGTTCATGACTTTTATTTCTCATCTTTTCTACCTCACTCTCACCACTTCTTAGTCTTGTCTGGATAGGGATCTGTTCTCTTGTCTCACCACGTCTTAGTTTGTCTTGTCTGGATAGGGATCTGTTCTCTTGTCTAACCACGTCTTAGTTTGTCTTGTCTGGATAGGGATCTGTTCTCTTGTCTCAACACATGTCTTAGTTTGTCTTGTCTGGATAGGGATCTGTTCTCTTGTCTCACCACATGTCTTAGTTTGTCTTGTCTGGATAGGGATCTGTTCTATTGTCACTATTCTGGTGTGTAAATATTTGATGCTACATTCCATTACAAAACTTTTGTAAGAAACTACACATTGAGACCTAAATGCTGTCTGTATGCAGACTATGTAGAGTGGGATTATGAAGCACCTCTACTTTGTGAGATATGTCTGTTTATAATTTCATATACAGTGTAATTATGAAACACCTCAACCACAGAGCCTGTACCTTTCCTAGATACAGTCATTGACTTTATGTTAATGCCAAGTTTTAGATCTGAAAACCTAGTGAGGAGTCTGCACATTTAGTGATCAGAAAGCCTACATTTTCATAGCAACTAGTTTATGGTCTTGACCATCTGACCTCACTAATCTTAGGACTCAAAGACTAGCCTTATTTATTAATTATTTAGTTTATGGCCTTAATCTATAATATTTAGAGATGTTCTCAGAAAAAAAAATATTTGTAATTTTTAAGAAATATAAAGGCGTGTGAATTAGTTGTTTTTTAAATGTCTTTTGATAATGTATTCAAAATAGTGTAATGTACTTGAGTGATTTTTTAAATCAAGTTGGCACTGAACTTCAACAATTCTTTTATTTAGATTGGTGTATTGCCAACTTGCAGGAGATTAAAACTTGTTAGTGGCTGCAGCGCTGTTTCAACTGACTAGAACACAACAATGTCTTACATCACCTTCTGAATAACTTTGTGATATGATAGTCTGGGGAAGCTTGATTTTGTACTGGTTATTAGCAGTGCATCTTGCTGTGGCCCTAACATAAGCTGAAGCGGCCTCGACCCTTCAATTGAAGCTGCAGATTGCATCTGTCAGCATTAGGTGTACATTTTATAGCCTTTGTGTGATTTCTTTCAATCCAACCTGTCAGTCCTTAGTTCATGTTTGGTTTATATTATTTTGATTTTGACATTTAACTACATATCATACATCAGCACTAACCCTCCCATTTTATTTTTAGTTATGTCACCAGCAGTTAGTAGATTTTAATTTAAAACAATACAATTTTTTACCATGCTTAAAGCTGTTTTGTTCATTTTATGTGTTGTTTCAATGTTGTGTACTTTTGCAGTCTCTCTCTCTGTATATATATTTAATAATATATTTTAATGTAAGGCTTGTATGTCTCGACTTCTCCCACAACTGGGGAGGTGTTGCTAAAAAAAAAGATACATTAACTTTTCAACAAATTGGGTCAACCCGTTTTCACAGTATTTTATATTATGGGATAATGTCAGCTTAACCCATTTTCACTCTTCTAAAATTAAAAATTGGTTTTTAAAAAATTTGAAGAGAACATTGAATAACATTCTCCATGTTTGACAATAGATCTAGAAATCTACATCCAATTCACTAGATCAGTAATAATCAAACTAACGCACATGGATAGTCAAAATTACAAAAGTTTTGTACCTCACTTGATGATGAAATATTAAAAGCTATATTAGCAAGGTCATATATTGCTACTAGATAAATTGTTAGTAACATCTAGGTATGGGTGTTGATTGTTTTTTGAGGGAAAAGTCCTTGAGCTAATTCTGTACCCAGATACAAAAAAAAAAAAAACTTTAAAAAAATCAACATATCATTGAGGAATAACTTGCAGGCAGCACTCTAAGGAACCCCAAACATTTAGATTATGGATAATAATGATTTTGTGTTAATTATTTCACTATCAATAAATGGTACTTCAATAGTACATGTTTAAACCTCTAGAATCTAGAGATCTTAATATCCTATTTCGCATTGCTATATCTGGACCCAAGAACGGTTTATTTATGAAGTATCATTTGAAGCATATTGCTTTTTTTTTTTTTTTTAAGTAGAATATATTTATAAATTAAAGTTGTATAACAGGTAAATGCCATCACTATGTAGTTGAACATCTAAACAAAGTTCAAATTACAGTGCTGACCACCTCACCTTTAGCACACCAGAGAACAGCAGCTCAATTGTCTTGTCTTTAGAGTAATTAGTTTTACCATTGAATACAAGAAATGAGCCAAACTAAAAACTTAATCACTCTGGTCATGACTTTTATTGACAAAAATACAATTTGTAACAAAAGAATACAAGGAACAATTATCAATGCAATAGTCAAAGTCTGGTCAAGTCTAATTTAAATGTTCTTAACTCTAGACAGATCACCTTCATTCACTTAAAATACAATTTCAAAACTTAAAATATTGGTAATGACCTATTTAAAGTTCAATGTACTTTCCAAGTCTGTGAATATCAAAGAGTTGAAAGCTATACATACAAGTGGTTGTACTCAAATCCTAATGTTAATGGCATAGTTAAGGTTATATTTTAGCACAACCAGAAAAACAATTCTTAAGTCTACATTTAGTTTTCCTTGCTAAGGTACTCTTGGATGCCTTTAGGATCTGGTTTAATTGTATCTTTTCCAGGCCTCCAGCCAGCAGGGCAAACTAAAAAAATTTACAGACATGCAGTTAAATAGTCTGATCATCACATATATATTTATGCTATAAATTGTTTGCTCTAATAATGTTATGTTACAGTAATAATAATAATAATCTTTATTGTCCGTATGGAAATTAGTCTTACAATTTGTGCATTACACCAAACAAAAACATTATAAGAAATCAAAGTGTACATTTACAACTGTACAATGAATTTACTTACAGATTATAAAGATTATTATTATTAATTGAAAAATAGACGTTCCGGAAATTAGGTTACTTGGCTGTTCAATAAATACTTTTTTTTCCCCAATATATTGAAGGTTATCTCAAATGTTGCAATTTCTTTATGAGAAGAGCAGATGGTACTAGGTGTCCAACATGTTTATGGAGTTAACTGAAGGTAGTTCTACAAACCTCCCCAATATATGCCTTGCCCTCTCCCTTGAATGTGGATTGAATTTGCTACAGAAGCAAGGTGTGATTAAAAAAAACATTTTTCAATTGCCAGACAGGCTTTTCACCTGATATAGGAGCAATCAATTTAATTACATGATTTCAATCAGGGAACAAAAGAGCAGCTTGCCCCTGACAGCAAGCAGCTATGTCCAGACATTTGTCCTAAGGGAGGGGGGGGGCGGGACACAGACCAGCAGGTAATCAATTGTTAAATGTTTAATATTTGTATGCGCAGGCTTTCATTTGGGAGACAAAAAAATAGTTTTTAACAATGAGACACCTTGATAAATTTATGTAATGGCAGCTGATTATTTCAGCATTATTTTAAGTTGGTACAGTCTGCATGCTATAAGGGTACACAAATCCAGAACTAGCCACATAAAATGAGCTTAATCGGCAGGAGGATGGAACGTAGTTACCTGGGATATCTCAAAGAAATAATTTCATTTGAGTAAAATTGATAGGCCTATTTACCTTCACCATGCTTGTCAGTGAACTGGAAAGCCTGTACAAGGCGAAGAGTTTCCTCCACTGATCTTCCAACAGGCAAATCATTGATTGTTATTTGTCTCAGATTTTGTTTGTCATCAATAATGTAGAGACCTCTAATAGAAGAAATTCACGAAGAAAGTTTCAATAGACTTTAATCTAAAACTATATAAAAGATATAATTATCTAGTCTGTAGATTTGTTTTCAGAAATTATTTTTGTTCAAGGAAAAATTGGTCTTGGAAAGGAAATGGCTGCCACCATGACCTAGCAAACCCAATGAAATGTTTGGATGAGGACAAAACCATTGGACCATTTCAATATCTAGTTCTAAGAGAATTTAGTTACGCAGTTAAAGCACACATTAGAGAAGTCAACGGACTGATTTATTGAGAGACCACATTTCCCTATCTGCAAAGAAACATTTCATTTAGTCAACACTACAGCACATTGTAAACAAAAGTACAGCCACACAATTACAATAGTATGAGTATAAGAAACATGTCTCTATTGACTAAGAGACAACAGAATTGTTTAATTCTGTTTTTAATGTAACTATTGTTTTACTATAATAAAGTCTGAATTTATTTTTTTCGCCTTTAATCTGTACCTACCTGAAGGCAATGCCATCACCAGGCTTCAAGCATCCATACTTTTTGGAGATCTCTGCATTTTTGTCGGCAAGAAGTGGGATGTTCATTTGACCAAGACCTCCCTGTTTGCGTGGTGTGTTTACCCTGTAAACAAAAATATTATAATATAGGGTATACATGATTGATTGATTGAATGTGGTTAGCTGAGGAATTCACCTCCCCGGAGCCTCGATATTTTAGTGAGGTGAAATTTTCCCTTTGAAACGATAAGTTAAAAAAGCAACTTCCTTCTGGATGTGCTTCTGCTGGCCAAACCCTCTGCGAAATAGGAATGTGGGTAAATCAAAGCCCAGACACAGGGGCGTAGCTTGGAATTTTACATCATTTGGGGCCCAGGGGGCTTAACCTCTTTGGTGGCCCCTGCATTTTGCTTAATATTTAATATTTAGTGTAAAAACACTCATTCTGGGGCCCCCCTCGAGTGGGGACCTGGGGGGATTTTCAATTTCTCCCCCCTCCTGCCCCCTACCCTAGCTACGCCACTGCCCAGACAGTTCCACTAAGTCCTATTGCAGTATTATGCAGTGTTTACAGTAGATTCCCAAGATTTGTTTTCAAAACTTTCCTATAATATAAAACTTTGTGACTTTTTCTAATAGAACATCGAATATGAAAACCTCTTTTCTAAGTGCTAATACCCCAGTGTAGAGTGCGAACCCAGGAAATGAATCTTTGTAGTTTTGGTTTTTTTAATTACTGAAAAATATTTTTTTTTTGCCTAGACATTTATTTCTTTTTATTACAATAGTGAACTTTTTCTTTTAAAGATACCTCTC